GCTGTGGCTCAAGTGGTAGAGTGCTAGCCTTGAGCTGAAGAGCTGAGGGACAGTGCTCAGGCCCAGAGTTCAGGCCCACGAGCCCCTCCCCCTCCCAAAAAAAATCAATTTTTAAAAAGGTTCGACATCATTAGTTATCAGGGAACTGGAAACCAAAACAATTGTTCAACACCACTTCTTCCCGATTAGGATAGTTATTATCAAAAAAGTAAAAAAACAAAAACAAATGTGTGGACAAGAATACAAACAAAAGAGATGCTTATACACTGTTGGTGGGAATGTAGATTGGTACAATAATTTTTTTAAAGTATTGTGGGTGGGGATGGGAGAGAAAAACTGGGAAAGAACAAGGGAATGGCTGCATTGTCAAAAATGAAATATACTCATTACCTGACATGTAACTGTAACCCCTCCTCTGTACATCACCTTTATAACAATAAAGGAGGGGAGGGGCGGGGAGGAATATGGAGGTTTCTAAAGAAATTTTAAAATTAAAAATAAGTCTGGCTGGTGACTCATGCCATATAACTCTTGCTACTCAGAAGGCTGAGATCTGAGGATTACAGTTTGAAGCCAGCCCAAGCAGGAAAGTCAGAGAGACTCTTGTGACCCAAATAGAAAAACTTGAGTCTTAAAATAAAAGGGGGGGGGAAGCTCAGAGACAGCCCTCAACCCGATTTCAAGCCTCAGAATTGGCACCCAAAAAAACAAAAACAAAATAAAAAACCCACTGAAAACCAGAAAGAAGATGACAAAGCAAACCGTCTTCTGGACATATATCCAAAAGAAATAAAAGATTTCTGCTCTCCCATGTTTGGTGCAGCCTTATTCACAATAGCCAAAATTTAAAAACAAGTATCAGTTGATGGACAAATGGATAAAGACAATGTGTTATGTATACACACAAACACACAAAGGAGTGTTATTACCACCCCCACACACATACACACAAAAAACGAGCTTTTGTCACTGACTATAACATGGATGAACCTAGAACATTTTGCTAAAGGAAACCAGAGAAACACAAATGTTACACAGTATCACTTATATATGTAATCTGAAAAGAAAAACCAAATTTACAGAAACAGACAATAAAACAGATGTAGTCAGGTGATACAAAGTAGCAGAAATACAGGTTATGCTGTATTTCCAAAGATCTAATATACAACACTAGCATTATAAATAAAACTGTACAAATTTTGGAGTTCAAGCTAAATGGATAAATTTTAGCTGTTCTTCTCTCACAGACACAGACAAACACACAAACAAATGATGAATTAGCCAGGTACGGGTAGCTCATACCTGTAATCCTAGCTACTACTCAGCCCAGGCAGGAAAGTACATGAGATTCTTATTTCCAATTAACCACCAAAAAGGTGGAAATGGAGCTGTGTCTGTAGCCTTAAGCAAAAACACAGGAACAGGGCCCAGGACAGTTACAAAAAGGGTTGCAGGCATGGCTTAAGTGGTAAAGTACCTACCTAGCAAACCCAAGCACCTAAATTCAATACTAGTAAAGGGAAAATTAAAAATAAAGTATTGATTAACTTTTTGTGTGTGTCAGTCCTGGAGCTTGAACCAAGGGTCTGCTGAGACGATGTCTCTGAGTTTTTTTGCTCAAGGTTACTTGTTGAGCCACAGCTCCACTTCTGGCTGTGTGGCGGTTAATTGTAGATAACAAATCTCAAAGCTGTCAACTTTTTTTGTTTCTATATCCTGGAGTTTATTTCCATAAATATATTTTATATAATCAGAAGCATACTGGCATTGAACTTTGTGTTCCTCCCCTAAGAATAACCTCCTTTGATCTCACTATGTATGAATGTGTAGAGTACAGTATAGTTTATCATGTCCCAGAGTACTTTAGAGACAGCTTCTGCATATAAGAGAAAACATGCGCCATTTTGAGCTTAGCTTACCTCACTTAAAATGATTTGTTCTAAAACCATCATCCATGACTGTATAAAATTCCATTGTGTATAGATACCATGTTTTGTTTTTTTAATCTATTCACCTATTGTAGGACACCTGGGCTGTTTACACAACTTGGCCATTGTGAATAGTCAGATCAGAGTCTCAAAGATTTCTCCCCTACCAGAGTTAGACCCTGATCTTCAGATCTCAGCCTCCTCAGCCTCCAGAGTTATAATTATAGGGGTGAGCAACTAGTGCCTGGTAAATGTCTTAAAAGTTAAAAACCAACTATCTTAACAATAAAACAAGTTTAAAATAATTTTTTTTGGTCGGTTGTGGGGCTTGAACTCTGGGCCTGGGTGCTTTCTCTCAGCTCTTCAGCTCAACGTGAGCACTCTACTGCTTGAGCCTCAACACCAATTCTGGTTTACTAGTGGTTTATTAGAGATAAGAGTGTCATGGAGTTTCCTGCCCGGGTTGGCTTTGAACCCTGATTCTCAGATCTCAGCCTCCCCAGTAGCTAGGATTACAGGCGTGAGCCACTGGTGGTGCCAGGCTTAAAATAATTTTTTTTTAAATTTTTGTCAGTCATGGGGCTTGAACTCTGGGTCTGGGCGCTGTCCCTCAGCTCTTCAGCTCAAGACTAGTGCTCTACCACTTTGAGCTCCACTACTGGTTTTTAAGTGGTGAATTGGAAATAAGAGTCTTACAGAGACTTTTCTGCCCAGCCTGGCTTTGAACTGTGAACTTCAGATCTCAGCCTCCTGAGTAGTTAGGATTATAGGCAGGAGCCACTGGGCACCGACAGAATATTTACTATCTTTTAAAGATCTTATCATTAGTATCTCCATTATTGCAGGTTAGAAGACTAAAGCCTAACTAGTCTAAATTAATGATTTGCAATCCCAGCCATAAAAAAGAATCATGAGAAACTATGGACACTAGACAAATGTCTGAGCCTGACTTAAGATTGATTTAATTGTTTTGTGATGAGACTTGGTCACCCCATGGAGTTCTAATATACAGCAATGGCAGCAGTTCACATAAACTAAGTGACCAAGGCCACAAAGCTGACTAGGAATCAAACCTAAGTCTTCCCAATTTTCCATTCTGTAACATTAATGCTCACTTATGGAAAGAAGTTATACTAACTTGTTACTGAGCTAGTGCTTAGCTCAAGTGATAAGCTGTTTCCTAACAAGAGCAAGGCCCTCAGTTGAGTTCCAAGGAAATAAACAGAAAGAAAAGGGAATAGGAAGAAAACAGCATTATTAGTTACTGTGATACCTACTCCAAAAGATCAACCAATATAAAGAGTTCAAAACACAACATTATGACCAGCCATTGCTCAGTAGTAAAATATTTAAAATAGTCACACAACATTAGATGGGAACATAAAAGAAATTCCATTACCTGTCAGAACCTGGGTGAAATTCTGAAAGCAAGGAAGGTCGCCTTCGAAGCTGCTGCTGCTGCTGCTGCTGCTGCTGCTGTTGCAAAAGCTGTGATGCCTGACTAACTTCAAGATGAGAAGAACGATAGTCAGGGACTGCAAATTCCTGGTATTAAAATAATCATAAATTAGCTATTAACTAAAAAGTAGATAGCATCATGAAATTAAACCAACTACTTAAGGAACACTAAATATGGAAATAAATGGTAATAATGATTTCAATTCTTTACTCAGTAAATTCCTCCCCAATAAACCTAAAGAATCAACATTTTAATCACAGTAAAAAAATAAGCCAAAACTGGGCTGGGAAGGTGGATCAGTGGTAGAGTGCGTGCCTTGCATGCATGAGGCCCTGGGTTCGATTCCTCAGCACCACATAAGCAAAAAGAAAAAAGCCGGAAGTGGCATTGTGGCTCAAGTGGTAGAGCACTAGCCTTGAGCTGAAGAGCTGAGGGACGGCGCTCAGGCCCAGAGTTCAGGCCCCATGACCGGACCCAAAAAAAAAGCCAAAAGAGTAGAATCAGACTGTCCATTCCAAAATGTTTTTTCTCTGATCACAAACAAAAACATATGTTAGTGTCTCAGGATGGTGAATTAAAGGAATTAATACAAATAAGCAAATACACTGACAAGATTAAATTATTATTGTTATTATTAAACCTGAGCATCAATAGTTTATGCCTAAATCCTAGCTACTTGAGAGGCCAAAAATCAAGAGGATCAAAGTTGGAGGTCAGCGCAGAAGGAAAGTTCATGAACTCTTTCTCAACTATAACTGGGCACAGTGGCATGCCCTATCATCCCACCTAGGACAAGAAACCTAAAATTGAAATTAGATGGACCTAGGTCTACAAGCATGCCAAAGTAGAAAGTTAGGCACAATTTCAAAAAAATAAACAGGACCAAAAAAAAAAAAGAGGGAGAGAGGTATTTAGATATGTAGATCAGGTAGAGAACACCTGCTCGGTAAGCATGTACCTTTGAGCTCAAAAACCCAGTACTGGAAAAAATTCAAGTGAAATTTCAAGATCAAGTTCTATTTATTCATTCCTTTAATAGCTTATTACTCCCAATCTATATTGCTCAAGTAAGTAAAATCTCAAGTTTATTTTATTATGTGTTCAACATAAAATCCTAGCGTGCATTCAGTGCTTACACAAATTGGTAAGCTATCAGAGTTATAGAAATCATACAGTTAGACCCATACATATTTATAAATGAAGAAATAGAGTCCAGAGAAGCAACAGATTAGTTAAGAATAATAGTTTTCCCATCTTACCAAGGTGTTTGGGTTTTGGGGTTTTTTTCTTTTCTTTTTTGTGATGGCACCAGGCCTTAAAAATCAGGACCTTTAGCCGGGCGCTGGTGGCTCACGCCTGTAATCCTAGCTACTCAGGAGGCTGAGATCTGAGGATCGAGGTTCAAAGCCAGCCCGGGCAGGAGAGACCTGAGACTCCTATCTCCAATAAACCACTAGAACACCGGAAGTGGTGCTGTGGCTCAAGTGGTAGAGTACTAGCCTTGAGCTGAAGAGCTGAGGGACAGCACCCAGGCCCAGAGTTCAAGCCCCATGACCCACAAAAAAAAAAAATTCAGGACCCTCACATTCTCACTTGATTTTTCTGCTCTATCTGGAATGCTACCACTTGAGCCATAACTCCACTTCTGGCTTTTTGTTGGTTATTTGAGGATAACAGTCTGATTTATCTAGCCAGGCTGACTTCAAACCTTGATCCTCAGATCTCAGGCTCCGGAGTAGCTAGGATTACAAGATGAATGTTTTAGTGCTTGTTTTTCTACTTTATTTTTGTTAATTTTTCTGGCTAGAACTTCCTTTCACTCAATCTTAAACAGATATTTAAAGGCAGAATTACTGAACAACAATTTTTTTTTCTTTGTGTGCGGTTGTGGGGCCTGAACTCTGGGCCTGGGCACTTTCCCTCAGCTCTTCAGCTCAAGGCTAGTGCTCTACCACTTGAGCTACAGCGCCACTTCCAGCTTTTTTCTTTTTGCTTATGTGGTGCTGAGGAATGGAACCCAGGGCCTCAGGCATGCAAGGCAAGCGCTCTACACTGAGCCACCTTCCCAGCCTCTGAACAACAATTTAATGCAAGGTATATACCAAAAAATTAAAAGCAAATAAACAAAAAACTTTCCAAATAAATTTTCAAAAGTACATTATTAGTAATAGCCAAAAATGTAAACATCCTAATTGACCAATGGATGAACAAAAACAGAATAGTACTCACCATGAAAAAAAAAAATTAAACATCAATACATACTAGGAGACAAATGAATGCTTAAAAAAAAAAAAGTTGGAAGTGGTGCTGTGACTCAAGTGGTAGAGCACTTGCCTTGTGCTGAAGAGCTAAGGGATAGTGCCCAGGCCCAGAGTTCAAGCCCCCACTACCAACAAAAACAAACGAACAATAAAAGGTAGGCAAGTTTTAAAAACCAGACTTTTGTTTAAAGCCAACTATTATTATTCCATTTACGTGCAAATTCACAGAGACAGACTAAATTAGGTGTTTCTAATAACAAAGGGGGAAACTGGCCTGCTATCAGATATGGGGTTTAATTTCAAGTATGGAAATTTTCTGGATTTAGGTAACAAAGCACAATGTAGTGACAATACTAAAAGTATTACATTACATACTTTTTAAAGTCAAATTTCTGCTATGCAAATTTTGTTATGTGAATTCTAAGTCAAGAAAAAAGCTTTAAAAATCATAAATAGGCCCCACACAAGTGACTAATGCCTATAATCCTAGCTACTCAAAAGGCTGAGATCTAAGGGTTGGGATTGGGGGGGAGGGGGGAGGCTGGGAAGGGATGTGAAGGGTAAACCAAAGGAGGAGGCTGCAATGCTTGGTAAGAAATGTACGCATTATCCTGCCCATGTAATTGTAACCCCTCTGTACAGTATGTTCACAAATAAAAAATAAATTAATTAATTAAAAAAAAAAAAGGCTGAGATCTGAAGAACCCAGATCGAAACTAGCCCTAGCAGGAAAGTCCATGTGACTCCAATTAACCACCAGAAAGCCAGAAAGTAGAGTAGAGGCAAGCAGAAAAGTAATAGCCATAAAGTAAGTAAAAAAAATAAAGCTCAGTAGTACCTAGCCCGAGTTCAAACTGTAAACCCCACATAAAAAAAAGAAAAAAATATATGAACAGATAAAATTGAATTGTTCAGGCTCAGGAAGGTAATAGAAAGTAGTCCAAAGCTTTTGTCCATAAGTCGATAATAGAAATCATAACTCAAGGATAGTTTAAGAATAAAATCTCAGATAAAGCCGGGCACAGGTGGCTCACACCTATAATTCTAGCTAGTCAGGAGGCTGAGATCTGAGGATCGTGATTCAAAACCATCCTGGGCAGGAAAGTCTGTGAAACTCTTTTCTCCAATAAACACTAGAAAACCGAAAGCAACACTTTAGCTCAAGTGGTAGGGTGCCAGCCTTGAGCTGAAGAGTTGAGGGACAGCGCTCAGGCCCAGAGTCCAAGCCCTACAACCAACAAAAGAAAAAGAAAAGAAAAGAAATGTACACCTATCCAGGCACTGGTGGCTCATGCGTGTAATCCTAGCTGCCAGGAGACTGAGATATGAGGATCATGGTTCAAGGTCAGCCTGGGAAGGAAAGTCTATGAAACTAGCCTTGAAGAAAAAGCTCAGGGATAGCACCCAAGCCCTGAGTTCAAGCCCCCACCACCAAAAATAAATAAATAAAAGGAACGAAATGGATTCATTACCTGACTAATGAAACAGTAACCCCTTTGTACAATACCTTAACAATTAAATTTTATTGTTTTAAATGTAAAAAAAAACAACAACTAATGAACACAAAAAAATCACTTTTTTTTTTTTTGGTCGGTCATGGGGCTTGAACTCTAGGCTTGGGAGCTATCCCTCAGCTCTTCAGATGAAGGCGAACACTCTACCACTTGAGCCAAAGCTCAACTTCAGGTTTTCTAGTGGTTTATTGGAGATAATTTCCTGCCTGAGCTGGCTTTAAACCTCCATCTTCATATCTCAGCTTCATGAGTAGCTAGGAATATAGGAGTAAGTCACCTGTGCCTGGTTAAATATGAAATCTTAAGCAACAAAATGTACCCAGCTGGGGCTGGGAAGGTAGCTCACTGGTAGAGTGCTTGCCTTGGATGCATGAGGCCTTAGGTTCGATTCCTCAGTACCACATAAGCAGAAAAAGCTGGAAGTGGCACTGTGGCTCAAGTGGTAGAGCGCTAGCCTTGAGCTGAAGAGCTAAGGGACAGCGACTAGGCCCAGAGTTCAGGCCCCACAGCCCAATAAATAAATAAATAAATAACAAAATAAATAAATATAAAAAATGTACCCAGTTGAATGAAGGGAAAAAAACACAGAAACTGAATTACAACTATTTAAAATTGCAACTATTTAAAATTTTAAGATAATTTAAATTCTTCCCAGAATTTTCATGTCCAGGCTGGCTTTGAACCATGATCCTCAGATCTCAGCCTCCAGAGTAGCTAGGATTACAGGCATGAGCCACCAGTGCACAGCTCCATGAGACTCTTATCTCCAATAAACCACTAGATAACCAGAAGTGGCACTGAGGCTCAAGTGGTTGAGTACTAGCCTTGAGCTGAAGAGCTGAGAGACAACACCCAGGCTCAGAGTTCTAGCCCCATGACCAACCAAAAGAAACCACAAATTGTCAATGCTATACAAATTCTACACAATAAAAAGGACAGGACCAAAGCTGTGGCTCAGTGGTAGAGTTTTGTTTATCCCTTAGGCCCTCAGTCCAATGTCTAGCAACACAAAAAAGGAGAGGGAAGGGAGGGGAGGAAGAGAAAAGGTTTTGAGAAGAATTTATGTTTTCCAAATTAACATTAAATCTCTTTAAGACGGTAAAGAGAACTGGGAATGTGGCTTAGGGGTAGAGTGCTTGTCCAGCATGCATGAAGCCCTGGGTTCGATTCCATAGCACTACATAAACAGAAAAAGCCAAAAGTGGTGCTGTGGCTCAAATGGAAGAGTGCTAGCCTTGAGCAAAAAAAAGAAGCTCAAGGACAGTGCCCAGACCCTGAGTTCAAGCCCCTATACTGGACAAAAAAGAAATAAAAAAGGTAAAGACCTCTTTACCTTTGCTAGCTATCACTCAGTCCAAGCTATATGGCCAGTTTAATAAAACTCAACCAGAACATGGAATGCAAAATATAGGTCTTAACTTAAAAATTCTAAGCAATACTGGGGCTTGGGCTCTGTCCCTTAGATTTTTTTGCTCAAGGCCAGCATTCTACCACTTGAGCCAAAGCTTCACTTCAACTTTCTGGTGGATAATTGGAAATAAGTCTCAGGGACTTTCCTGATGGGGCTGTCTTCAAATCTTGGTCCTCTGGATTGCAGCCTCCAGAGTAACTAGAATTATAGGCATGAGCTACCAGCACCCTGCTTAACTTTAATTTCTGCTTTTCTATCAATTACTGTACTCCCACCCCCCCAAAAAAAAACACCAGAAACATGCTGAATCTCTAATATCTATTAAAAAAAAGTAAAAAAATGAAGATAATTATTCCAAACTTTGATTCCCAATCTTTCATAATGAAGAAAAAAGTACATAAAGAAAAAAGTACATTTGATTTCTGACAAATGAACATTAAATAGAAAGATAAAATACAAAACATGTATGCATTTTGCTCCTTACCTGCTGGTGACGGGTACTAGGAAAGGTGTACTGAACAGAATGGGGAGGATAACGGCTTTGTTCTGTACTGAATGCTCCTTGGTTGGGAGGATATCCTGAACTTGACATTATCAGTAAAGAAGTCCTCACTGGGCTGTGAGATCAAGTCCAACAATCAATCATGTTTCTAGGAAACCACCTAAATAGGATGGAGAAAAAACAATTCATAAGAACTAAAATAAAATCAAATGGTCTTCTAGTAACATAACTATATCCATAAATAAAACTACAATCACTAGTAAAAGACTCTCTACGTTATTTGCTTAATAAAAGTAACTAAGATTTGGTAAACTAATGGGTCTTAACCTTAACATTTAGAAAAAAGTTCTTTAATATATGGCTAATGATATAATGCATAAAGTAAAACTACTCAGGAGGCAAGGTCAGGAGAATCTTGGTTCAAGAACACCAGGCAAAAACGGTGAGAATCTCATTGCAACCAATAAGCCAGACATAGAGACAAACATCTGCAATCCCAATTAGGTAAATGACCATATAAAGGAAGATCCTGATCTAAGGTCTGCCTCCAAGAAAAGAATCCAAAACTCCTTGTCTGAAAACCTAAAGGGGAAAAAAAATGGTAGAAGACTCATCTAGCAAGCTCAAGGCCCTGAGTGAATAAAATGAATTTTAAGGCCCTGAGTGAATAAAATAAATTTTAACAAGATTTACACTCTCGGACAGGAGTTGGCTCAGTGGTAGAATGGTTGCCTTGCATGCATGAGGCCCTGGGTTCGATTCCTCAGCACCACATAAGCAGAAAAAGCCGGAAGTGGCACTTACTGCTCAAGTGGTAGAGCACTAGCCTTGAGCTGAAGAGCTGAGGGACAGCACCCAGGCCCAGAGGTAAGGCCCCATGACCCACAAAAAAAAAA